GAACATAGAATAACAGGGTTGGAAGGGGCCTCGGAGGTCTTCTAGTCTAACCTACCTCTGACGCAGGAAGCCCTATGCCCGAGATGGCGAGCCTATGCCACGCGTGTCAGAGGTGGGCACACGGACCCCAGCCAAACTTACCTGCGCTGCGCATGCACACGCCTCCCAGCTGACTTGCGGCCCGTTTGAGGCCGTTTTCGCCCTCTGGGGGGCTCGAGGGAAGCCTCTGCAGCCTCAGGAGGCCGAAAAACAGGCCTTCCGGAAATCCCGGAAGTGCCGAAACGGGCCTGTTTTTCAGCCTCCCGAGGCTGCAGAGGCTTCCCTCGAGCCTCCCAGAGGATGAAAAGGGCCTCAAATAGGCTGAAATCAGCTGAGAGGTGCGCGCATGCGCAGTGCAGGTAAGGGGGCAGGGTGGGGATATTGCGCACGCAGGCGCAGGGGCGGGGCAAGACACATTGCATTGTGGGTGCCGGCGTGCGCACGTGTTTTCGGCACACCGCAACAAAAAGGTTCGCCATCACTGCCCTATACGTTTCTGGACAAATGGCTGTCCAGTTTCTTCTTGGAAAACCTCCAGCGATGGAGCCCCCCTCCCAACCGAAAGGAAGAAGTGGGGAGCCAGGAGAGACTCTGCCCATTAGGAAATGCCTTGATTTAACAAACCATTGGTTTAGCAACGATTGGAAGTTCACTGTGCCCCCTGAAAAAGTGACTTGTGGCCGGTCCTCGCATTACAACCGTCACAACATCCCCACGGCTACCTGCGCAAAATTCGGACGCTTTTGCCAATTGGGACCTTCCCAGCCAGTTTTCAAATCAATGGGGGAACTGCAGATTTGTTTAACAACTACGTGATTCTCTTAACGACGGCTGTGATTGGCGCAGCCACCGCGATGCAAAAGGGATTGTAAAATCAGGTGCGGTTCGCTTAACAACCTCCTCGCTCGGTGAAGGAAATTCTGATCTCAACTGTTGTCGTAAGTCAAGAACTACCTTCTCAGCTAGTCCTCGACTTACAACAGTTCATTTAGTAACTGTTCAAAGTTACAATGGCTCTGGGGGGGGAAAAAGCTACTTAAGACCGTTTTTCACACTTACGACCTTTTCCCCCCCCATGATCCATGCAATCTAAATTCAGACGCTTGGCCGCTGACTCGAACTTACAACTGTCGCAGCATTCCCAAGGTCATGCGATCCCCCTTGAGTGACTTTAGGACGAGCAAAGTCAACAGGGAAGCCAGATTCACTTAACAACCGGGTTACTATGTTAACAACTGCAGTGATTCGCTTAACAACGGTGGCAGGAAAGATCATAAAACTGGGGGAAAACCCATTTGAACCATGTCTGAACAAATGTCTCAACAACTGACACGTTGGGCTCTATTGAAGTCGTAAGTCAAGGACTGTCTGTATTTTATTTTATTTTATTTTATTATTATATTATGTTATGTTATGTTATGTTATGTTATGTTATGTTATGTTATGTTATATTATATATATTATATTATATTATATTATATTATATTATATTATATTATATTA